GTACTGCTCCTGTAGAATCATGGCATGGCGACTTGTTAGGAGAGAAACAGAAGGGTGATAACTATTTCTGTCCTGCACACTTTTATATCTGTTGGGGCACCAGGTCAGATTTACTGATAGATATCATTTCACTCTTTTTAATCAGGCTCCTTTTTACCAAAGTGTGAAATTGTATGATATGCAGGGAATTCTTATCTCAGGTCAAAATACTCAAAGATGAAGAACCAGCTTTGTCTTTTATGGTAATTCATTACAAAAATATAGCAAGAATCAATGTCATTGATTCATGAATCAAAGCAGTATAAATTACATGAAATATGAAGTAATAAGGTTTCTAAAACAGTTGAAGAAGAAAAGGATTGTAGTCTTCATCTTATACATGTAGTTAAGATAAGGTCTGGATGTTAAAACCTTTACAGAATGAAAATATATTTTCCCAAAGGAAATGTTTTTCTTCTGTTAATGAATTGACAAGAGACCCAGGTTAAAACTTCTAAATTTTTATCAACTTGAAGAGAAGATGTTTAGATCTTGGTCAGGTTATTTATTAGTAATTTTATTACTGCAGAAGAACAAGTTGTCAGGTTTGCCTCGGTTGTTACCCAGGACTGATCTGCAAACCATTGTGTGAGACCTTTAAAGGTACAGTTACATCTCACCCAGCTGTAGACAGGCATGTCTCAGAGATGGGCAGCTTAGCTGGGGACCCCTTTGGCTTAAGGTCCACAGGAGTTCAAGAACTGTCCATTGTCCCTCGCGTCGAGCAGATGCAGTGTTGCCAGATGGGAAATGTTGAATTATCATATCAGCAGTTCGATATCATCGTATTTTGAGTAAAATTATCGTACATACCCAAATTGCATTCTAGAGTGGCTCAAATGTACAAATACATCCTGCCACTGCCCTGTATTCGACAAACTGCACATTCTTTTGTTTATAACAAAGTTAAAAAGCACTGTTGGGTGTTTTTTTTTTTTTACAAAAGAGTCTGGGGAAATGCTGCATATGAAAAGAAAAATTAGATAAAATGACTATAATAAAATGTAAATTAATAAAATAGATCAAGTTAGAATGAAATCAGGAATAGAAGAAGTCGTTGTAGTTTATTGTACTTTTGATTAGTCAAAATTGAGTGCATACTGTGCAAATTTAATCTGCAAGCCTCCAAAATCAGTTTTTTGTCTTTAAAAATAGCTTCAGGACAATACCTGGATGTTTATTAAATGTAAATGTTGCTTATACCCCGCACCTTCTCAGTCCCACCTTTTTCTTTCTGATTTTACAGCTACAATGTCTTCCACTTAAGTGCTACT